CTCTTGCGTAGAAGATTATTTTGGCCCCGCATGGAGGAAACTGTCCTGGCCTGGACAAGAACATGCTCCCAGTGTGTACTTCACAAGACTCGGCCTGAAGGTAAAGCCCCACTGGTCCCGATTGTTCCTAAGGCCCCAATGCATATCCTGGCCCTAGACTTTTTAGCAGTGAACTTCCCAACTGAACGGTACCAACAAGTGCTGGTTGCAACAGACTTATTCACCAAGTATGCGTGGGCCATTCCTACCCCTGACCAGACTGCACTGACGACAGCCCGGGCCCTGTGGGACCATGTGATACAGCCTTTTGGTTGCCCAGAGACTATTCACTCAGATCAAGGTGCAAATTTTGAGTCCCACTTGATTAGAGAACTGTGTGATATATATGGGTGCAGAAAGAGCCACACCACCCCCTATCACCCGCAAGGGAATGGGTGGTGTGAAAGATTTAACCAGACTCTATTGAACTTGCTAAGCACTCTAGAGGCAGACAAAAAGGTTCAGTGGCCAGGACACTGTGCTACATTAGCCCATGCATACAACAACAGCGTCCATAGCTCTACAGGGTATGCACCGGCGTACTTGATGTTTGGCCGTCACCTGTTGACATGGTGAGTGGCACAGGGGGGGACAATGACATCCCGGGGCACAGCTGATTGGGTTATCTGACATGAGGGACAGCTAGCATATGCCTATGCTAAGGTGAATGAAAATCTCAAGAGTTGCAGAAAAGAACAAAAGACTATATGATAGAACTGCAAGAGATGCATCATTGTTGGAGGGGGAACGGGTCCTAGTTTGGGATCATAGGTTGCGGAGCTGAGGGAAGCTGAGCAATAGATGGGGTCACCGGGGTGACGTGTGTGTGTGTATGTGTGTGCGCGCGCGCGCGCGAGATTGGAGCTGCATATGGTCACGCCCCCTTGTTAGTGGTGAATGGCTACTGGTGTGGGAAGTCTGGGGGGCAGGTGCTCCTTTATAAGGAGACAGGAGAAACCCGGAAGGGGGAGAACACAGGAGCAGGGAAGAGTAGAGCCGACGGCAGGACGACAGCTGCACCCAAGGCGGCAAGCTAGAGAGACGCGGTGGTCACCACGCACGACGTGAGGCGGAGACGAGACCGGGACCGAGGTGGACGTCGGAAGCGAGTCAATCACACTGCCGAGCAACCCTTTGGGTAGACGCAGCAGCCCGGAGTCAAGACGAGACGCCTCGGAGTAACTGGAGTGAGGAGTGGCCTTTGTGGAAGTGCGTGGGGGAGGACGCCATCAGAGACACGAGGAGGGGTCGGAATTCGTTCCCCCCTCCTTCCCTGTTACTTCTGACCACTACTGAGAGCAGGAACGAGCAGCGAGAGCAGAGGAAGGGAATTGGTGGGCTGACGGACTGGAAACTGGGATTTTAAAGACCAACTACTGAGGACCGGACAGATCAAGACTTGCCCAGTGACTTTTATTACCAGTTTTTATTATGAACTCTTTTTATTATTTTTAGGCCTTTTGATTAAGGGATTTGTGCTTTGTTTTCTATTTTTTTTTTTTTAATAAAGACACTGGCATTGGTTTTATAAACTGTACTGGTCTGAGCCTCGTGTTGTTTCGGTGCAGCCCGTTCCCCAGCAGAACCTTACCCAAATTAAGTTTTAATTGTTTCTTTTAACTAGCTGACCCGAGAGCGAACAGCGGCGCGGCGGCGGTGACATAAACATAATATAATAAACCTAGATGGTAAATAATTAAACGTGTTGTCTACACCTACATAGTCTTACCTAATATTAGCATTGGAAAACACAGCTTGCGCTGCTGTTTTACAGCTAGATCTAATTCATTGTCTTTACTCTGGCTTCTACACCAGCCTGCACTCGTAGCAACCGTTAGCTGTATGCTAGTAGGTAGCTACGTTTGCTAGCGATGAAAGTAACAAATTACTATCAAAATGATGAAAGCCAGATTACCTGTCCAGCAGAAATAAAGCCACCACGGTGTAACTTTTCAGCCCCTTGGTGTTCCTCAGTTGTCAGTCACTATCGTTGAAAAGCCACGCAGTTATTACCTCCGGTCTGACCGCTTCGCTGGTAAGGTCTGAGAGAGCTGACTGGTTGCGTGCACGGGGGCAGCTCCTGCAGCAGCCGGTAGCAGCACGGCTGGTAGCCATGTCATCGAGGGAGAGTGACAGCCAATCATTGCATTCGGTCTGAATGAAACGAGTGGCTGTGTTTACTGCAGCCCTCAGCGGACTACAGACAGCCGATTTTTATACTCTCTTTTTCAGAGCACCTAACTTTTTAATATGCATTGGTGTATAAAGACAGTTTCAACACATATGACAAAGTGTTTCAGAAGCAACTTGCCTACCCTGCCTTTAAAATGCTAACTAACGTTAGCTAACAAATACATTAATCCACGTGCTAGCGTTAGCTAATGCACACCAGAGCTATCCACCAAGTAAAATATTTCCAAAGCCAGAGTGAACTCAACTTTAGTTAACTTACACAATTTTGTTGTCTTGCTAACAATAATAAACTTACCAAGAAAGACGTATACAGTTGTATTGTAGGTGTATTAGAAGATATTCAGGTCCATTATAGTCTACCTTAGGATGGTTTTGATGGTTTATTGCATCAAAATAAAGCTTTTTTTACCAGGCGAGGATGAAAATATTATTTTTTTTTTTCTGTATTTCATATCCATGTAGTCTGTAATGGTAAAATAAATATGTTATTCTACAATGGATTTATATTCCTTAGCTTCTGACCTTTCAAAGGAGATCAGAATTATGCATCTAGGCCTAATGGTTGAGGAGATATTACTGATTTATTTTGGATATGTTATTTTAGGCGTTTCTTCCTAGAAATAGGTGCCAGTTAGGCGGTGGTTAAAGTATGCTTATTTCTATATGTTGTTGTTTGTTAAGTTAACAACATGTGCTGCTTCCTTCTAAGACAGGTTACCCTTATGAAAGAGGTCTCTGATCTCAACTAGCTATTTACCTGATTAAAAAAAATTAAAAGAAAGAAAAGAAATTTAAAAAAAGAAATAATATGCTTTTGAAATATATGTTATAATTTTAATGTTAAAAAACTATGTTTTAAAAATCATACTTCTGTAAATCAGGCTGAAACATGTGGCAATTACATAAATAATTACAATATTTTGCAGTAGCCTACACAATGAAGCATGTTTGGCATAAATGTATTTTTAACCCACTAAAAGTGTAATTGTTTAACAATGTCCTTCCACAAAGTACACCTAAATAGTATTTACTAAGAGTTAAATAAATATAGTTTTAATAAATAGACTAAAATGTTGTAAAAAAAAAATACTTTTATTTAAGCATATTTATTAAAAGTTTAATTAAGTATGTATTTATTACCAATTTATTCAAAGTATTTTGAGAAGTATGTTAAAGCTCAGGAGACTATATCTTTAATATACTTGTAGTAAGCATTTTAGAAGTATGAATGTACTATAAGAATACTATGTGAATTTCAAGTATATTTTCAGTGCCTTTAAGAGCACTTCTTTTTGACCTGGGTTAATTGGCCAGCAAACTCGCCTGACCTTAACCCTATAGAAAATCTATGGGGTATTGTGAAGAGGAAGATGCGATACACCAGACACAACAATGCAGAAGAGCTGAAGGCCACTATCAGAGCAACCTGGGCTCTCATAACACCTGAGCAGTGCCACAGACTGATCGACTCCATGCCACGCCGCATTGCTGCAATACTTCAGACAAAAGGATCCCCAACTAAGTATTGAGTGCTGTACATGCTCATACTTTTCATGTTCATACTTTTCAGTTGGCCAACATTTCTAAAAATCATTTTTTTGTATTGGTCTTAAGTAATATTCTAATTTTCAGAGATACTGAATTTGGGATTTTCATTAGTTGTCAGTTTTAATCATCTCAATTAAATGAAATAAACATTTGAGTCTGTGTGTGATGAATGAATATAATATCCAAGTTTCACTTTTTGAATGGAATTACTGAAATAAATCAACTTTTTGATGATATTCTAATTATATGACCAGTAGATAGCGATCATAGCTATTACTAAGGGCACCTTTGGGTTGCCAGGTTGTGACACATCCCTTTGACTGGTTTGGCTGTTACAAATGGGCTGCTGAGAATCTGGACCAAATCAATTTTCAACACTTATTTAATTAATTAATTAAGTACATTTATTCAAGTACTGTACTTACGTACAAATGTTAGTTCTTTTCATGCCATTTTCTACTTCTACTCCACTACATCTAAGAGGGAGATATTGTGCTTTTTACTTTACTACATTTATCTGACAGCTTTAGTTATTAGTTACTTTACAAATTAAGATTTTTACACACAAAACATATAAAGACTTAATAAAATACACTGTTATAAATTAAACTTCCCAACATTTTATACGAATTGTATAACATTAATAACATTTTATTAAGAATTGCATACTGTACATTTAAATTCTTCATGTCCTGTCATTAACTCTTGACTAAAAACATACTCAAGTATTGTTTTGTACTTTGACTCAAGTATAAATTTAAATTGAAGTCTTTTACATTTAGAGGAGTAATATTTAGCCTATCTATCTAAGACTATCTGTGTCCTACTTTTTTACTTTACATTATCAAAGCCATTACAACTTGTAAATCCTGTATAAAAGGTGCCTTATTAGAAAGTGGTGCCTTTAAACAGTCTCCACTGACTAAAGATACATTAGTTCCGCACTCGATCAGGTGTAGATGTATTTTAGTGTGTTTCACTGTAACGCAGGTGAAAGCAGACGTCACGTGACCCCAGGGAACCAATAGCCAGAAGAGTTTCAGGTCCCGTCCAGGTGCAGTTGAGGAACCAGAAGGTTGACGTCTGCGTAGTCACCTCTACGGCTCCACACAACAACTAAACTGTAATGAACTAACACGTTGCCTCGTGGTGATGTAGGTGTAAAAAACAACCTTCACTCGCTTCATTTCTCACCTGAGGACGGAGGAAGACTGCGGCTCATGGCTGTGATTTTAGTCGCTTTAATATTGGTGTGTTGTTTTGAATGGGACAAGACTTTCCTCGCAGCCGGTAAGGATGTATCAAATCGAACTTTATTTGGGCTTCTTGATTTTACTCAGATACGATAGGAATAGGCCTACACTTTATTGTTAACTCCATTAAATACAATGAATATTGTAGAATCCACCTTATTGTATGGGCAATATTTGTCCATTGAGCTATTAGTCAGATGTAGCCTACGGGATGCTGGACAGGTATAAATACCAGGTCAATGCATGTTGTCAGTGTGTATAAGGTCACAGTATCTGTCACGCAGTCACATGCATAGGTTGCTTGGCAACATGGGGACTAGACCCGGACTTTGGACCCGGATGCCTGTTGCTTTATTTGCGATTTTTTTCTTCTTCAGGAAACAAGAGGAAGTCAAGGGGGAACCAGAGCGGGCAGTTGTGCGGGTTATTTGTGGTTTTGGTCGCAGTCAAGATGAGCGCATGCGCTAAATATGTTGAAGAACAGGTCCAAGTTCAATAGGGCATGTGCTCTTTAGTTAATTTGTCTGAGATGTATTTTACATAGGTGCTCTGTTGCTTGCACTGAACATGTCCTCAAATAGAAAAGAAGAGTCAGTGTTTTTTTTAATGTAAGTCAGCAAAAAACACTTTGCTCAGCGTCTGCCAGGTTGAAAGAGTGAACAAGTTCACCTTGCCATGCACCATTAGACACTTGTTCTTTGCCAAAAGCTACACTAAAGCTGAACACAGTCTTCTGACGCTACAAACTATTTGCATCCACAGACTGTATGCAAAGTGTTCCCTCAAAATGAAGCAAAGCCATTTTCTACTGTAGACATTTGCTTGAACATAAAGTAGAGATGCACCTTACAGACACATTAAATACAGTTTCTTCATTTATGTCATTATTATACGTTCAGGCCATGTCACACCATGTTGCAACTCAATCTTTAGTGCTGTTCCTGTTGCCATTAGATGTTATTTTAGGAAGAAGAGAGCCTTGCTGTGGGATTGATAATCCTGTGTCCCTGAGCTGAGGGATCAGAATCAATTTTGGGACAAAAAAAAGCTAGATGGTCAAGAACAGTGTGTAAACTTCCTCTGTCTCTATTTGTAGCTCAGAATTGTGTGGATGAGAGCAGGTTTAAGGAGCAGGTGCTCTATGTGGGGCAGCAGGAGCCTCCATATCGACTGAACTGCTCTCTGGAGCTTGCTCAGCAACAGAGCTCCCCCCAGTTCAACCTGACCTGGCAGAAGGACTGTCAGCAGCTCCTCGCCCAGGATGGGAAGGCCTACCTGGAGTTTACCAGCCTCAGCTTGGAAGACCAAGGGAATTATACCTGTGTGCTACAAAGCAACAGCACAGCCTCATTCACTGTGCGTCTCATAGTTAAAGGTACAGTCACTATTATTTCCAAAGTGTAACCAAGTCATCCCAAACCTGATACTGTAATTGTGTCGCTCTCGCTGTAAGCTATTATTTGTCTCTGCAGCAAACGTACAATTTGTATGGGGAGGGGTTGAAGGGGCTAGTTTAACGGATTGGCTTCACCTGCAAGGGGGCATTTTGTTTCAGAGTGCCTTCCAGCAGCAGTCTCAGGCTGTACCTGGCAGTGCACATGAAGGCCTCTATTGTCTGGTGCTCCTTGAACACAGATAACAGTGGTATGTCTTTACACAGAGTCCCAATGCGCCAAAGCACCAGAATTTAGACCTAATAGAGGCCTGATCAGCCTCTGGAGGAATGTGGGATCCTCTGTCAAACTGAACTGCACTGTTGTCCTCCCCTGGGATCCAAGAGAGGAGCAATGTGACACCACGCTGCAGTGGAGTAAAGATGGCCAACCCCTCACCAATCACACTCTTCACACGCAGAATATCTCCTCATGGTGAGTTGGTTTAAAACTTGCATTTATTAATCACATGTAAGTATTTACATTGGAAGTAAGATCAAATTTTCTGTCCTACTTACCAGGTCTCCTGTTGCCGGCCAGCTGATGGTAAACAGTCTGCTGGGGATCACCCTCAGAGAGTTGGATTTTGGGCTCTACAGCTGCACAGTGAGAAACGTTTCCTCTGACTTCAGCCTACAGAATTCAAGTAAGACAATTAAAGATCCCAACCTCTCTTTTATTCTGTCCTGCATCTTTTATTATATTTTTAAAAAGATTACCCACCGAAAAATGAAAAAGACACATGCACACAAACATAACAATTTAGATTGGGAAAAACAGTGTAAGGCAAGACCCCATAAATAAACTGGAGAGCCAATTTTGTCCTGTATCTACATTGAAAATCATATGAAATTATATCGTAGACATGATCAGTGTAAATAAAAACTATTATAAGGAAGTCGGCCAGCTACACAAACTGTGTCAACTGTCTAGGGAGTTTACAACTTTAAAATAAGTACATTTTAACTTGTGTGATGCAGGGAATGTTTATGCCACAGACACTGATACATCCAGTCTGCATAATGTACAGTATCTTGGCAGGGAGCCTGAACCAGCATGTGATATGTGAGCACCAGATAATCCTTGTGATTCATAAGATGTTATGTTATCCCTGAATTAACTGTGCATTGCAAATGTGTACAATTTTCTCTTCTCTTAGTTGTTTTTGTTGCAAGGTCTCAGAATCTGTAGTTTGTGATGATCAATTGTAATAAAGGTATTGGTAGTTTATTAAATGCTTCTTTTTTTATATTTTCTGTGTGTGTGCACAGACGGCCCCAGCCACACAGCGGCTGTTATTGCAGCCGTCATCCTCCTCCTCTTCCTCACTGTAGCTGCTGTTGTGTACTCCAGGTGCCACCTGAACATCAGACTCTGGTACAGGAACTCCTACGGAGACTATGAACTCAATGGTGAGGCTTCCGTTGAAGTGATATGAGGTTGCTATACTCGGGTACAAGACTGTAGTATTAACACCGCTTATTTGTGTCTCCATGTTTTCAGATGGCAAATTATATGATGCCTATATCTCCTATGTGAACAATGATCATGACAGGAAGTTTGTCAACTTTATTCTCAAACCTCACCTGGAGAATAAAAATGCATACAAAGTGCACCTCAATGACAATGATATCCTACCTGGCTCAGGTAAGCTGTCTGTTGGTTTTTAAAGGGAATACGGGATCTATTGAATTCATTGTTAATACAGTGTTGGTTGGTTTTAATCTTCACAATCCTGGATTTTCAGATTCTGCTGTCGCAATCATTACCTATTACAAACAAAATTGCGTTTCACAAATCAAAACAAAAACCATACTTGAGACTCATACATATGCTAGCTCTTACTTACACTGAGAAAAGGTAAGAGCCGTGCTGGATTTGCAATCACTTGTGTGATGTGATGTTGCCACCATTTGTGTTTTGCGTGTATAAGCAATCTTCGCAAATCTTTTTTTTTTATGTAAAACTTACCCCTGGGTAACAAATTGTAATGTAAAACTGTGAATTTTTAACAAAGCACAACAATATTATTTTTCCTCCAGAACCTTCTGCAGAGCTACTCATGAACATGAGTCGCTCTCGGCGTCTGATCGTGTTGCTCTCTTATGCTTACCTTGAGCAGGACTGGTGCTCCAATAACTTCAGGTCAGACTCACACAGGGAAATTTAATGTATTAACAACACTATTCAAACAGCACTTTCTATGTTGTATAACAAAAAAAAGTGTAAAATTACTGTGGCATCCTTACAATATACCACATGAGGTCAGTGTTGCTGCTATATACTGAAGTGTCTACATTATGTGCTATCATGAGACATGACTGTAGCTGTGTGTGTTTTCAGACAGGGCCTTCTGCACATATTGGAGATATGTCAGCGGCCCATTCTCATCATGTTGGAGGGTCAGTCCAAACGCATGAGTGCTGAGATCAAGCAGCAGCTCAGTGAGCACCAGCACCGCCTCACCATACTCACCTGGAGGCACAACTCTGTGGTAAGATCCACAATAATACCTTGCTCTTATAATATAAAGTAGGACATGTATATGATAAAGCAAAAGCTTTCTGAGCAAATGTATAATAAAATAAAGTAATAAGTTTCTGTTTCGACAAAAAAGGAAGATAAATAGGATTTAGGCACTCACATGGAAAAAGTATATTGTTATGTAAATACATATATACGTATTTGCAAAGTATCTAACGTATAGTTACTGTCTGTGCTCTGGGATAATGTTGCATTTCCCTTGAAGCCACTATTACAGAGTGAAATCATCATGTTAAGAGACTGTGTCTTACACAACATTTGTTTCAGCTTTAAAGTTTAAGTATTTTTCTAAAACAGTAAATATTCATGACTAAATAAGCAACAATCAGAGTCCAAGTTCAGAAAAGATTTTTTTTGTACAGTTCTGAATGATTACAAAATGTTGCTAAATTCTGATTGGTGTATAAAACTATGTGTCAAATGAAACCAGTCCCATGGAAAACCAGTGAGAGGAGCTCTGAAAAAACAGCATGGGCAGAAATCTGTGAAGTTCAAATTTAAGTGGAAAGGTTTATGCTCATGTATGACTACATTGCTCATGTAAAAAGATTGATTGACATTTGGTAAACCTAGTGTCAAATCTTAAAGCAGTAGAAATACTTTTCCAGTAGTTTAGAAGAAAAATAATCTCTTACTTACTAATAAATAAGTGTATGTAACTGGCAACAACAAATAATGAAATTATAGGATAGAGGGTGTTGTATGATGTACAGATTTTAAAGCCCCCTAAGGAAAATTTGGCAGATTTGTGATAATGGGATGGATAAAATAAATTGACTTGACTAGATATTTCTCAGTGTATAAATGTGTTTCAATGTAATTAAATACATATACATATGAAATAAATGAGAAATGCATATGTTATATATTATGATACCCAATTAGGGCTTCTGCAGTTTAAAAACTACAGTTCAATTTGACTCTTAACAGCGTTGTGTAACGTGTCGTGTTTGGTTTCTGCATGTTCTGTGTGCACAGACTCCCGCGTCAGTCTTCTGGAAGGAGCTGTCTCTAGCGATGCCTCGCAGAGTTGTCTTCCTCAGTGAGTCTGCAGGCGACCCCCAGACTGTGTTACAAGATGACAAAGACCCCATGCTGACCATCGACACCGACTACCTGGACTGCCGCTCAGACACTGACCCTACTGGAGATCTGGGTAAGAGCAACAGTCACTGTGATAATGTTAGGTTCACTCTTCACATAAAGAAACATATGAAAAAATATTTGCATAAATGTAAGGAATGTATTTGAAAATTTGTAATTCAATACCTAGACAACATACTGAGGCACGTTTTAATAACCGTCTGGAACTGAATGATCCTGAGATGTAAATGCTTGTCAACTGTTTGCCATTTCTTGAACTTTTTGTCATTAGAATTAGAATATAAAAAAATATAGCCTATATGCAAGTCTCAACCTGATAAAGGCTATTTTCCCTTTTCAACACACATTGTGTAACTGAAACACATTGCACTTGACCCAGTTTGTATCAACAAACATGGACTCAACTACAGTTAATCTTTAACTTCAATACTAGGACGTCATATCTCATGATGAGCTTGCAGATATTTTCTATACCAGCTTGTGTGGGATAGAAGCAGACATGAGAGGCAACTGCTTTCATGGTAAAGGAATAGCTCAGCTTTTGCTTACTTGCAGAGAGTTAGATGAATAGGTCAAGACCACTCTTAAATAATTGTCCATACAGTAATTGCATCATGTCTGTCTATTCTGTACACATGACATCTATTAACTTAAATTAAATTAAATTCTATCATGTCTGTCTGTCCTGGGAGATGGATCTCAGGTCTGCTGCTCTTCCTGAGGTTTCTCAGTTTTTTCTCTGTTAAAATGGTTTTTCGGGGGGGGGGATGATTTTTCCTCATTCGAATCAAGGTTGTTGTATTATGGACAACCCCCTGACGAACATTTGTGATTTATGATACTGGCCTACATGAATAAAATTTACTTGACTTGATTTATAATATTTCCGTAAATATGAAGCTACAGCCGGTTAGCTTTACTTAGCATAAAGACTTGGAAACAGGTGAGATGCTGGTAGATGGATTTTGTTATCTCTGGACAGAGCCAGGCTAGCTGTTTCCCTGTGTTTCCAGTTTTTATGCTAAGTTAAGCTAATGGGCTAACGGCTGTAGCTTCATAATGAATGAGAGTGGTATCAACCATTTCATCTAACTCTTGGCAAGAAAGCAAATAAGTATATAATGTAAATAAGTATAAGTATGTAAATAAGTCATATACGTCATACTACTCCTTTAATGTGTCCATCTTTGTATTGAGGAGCGTCACTGTATAGTAAGAAAATATTAAACCTTAAACTTCTGAATGAATCTCTTCTTGTTGGAGCAAAAATAATGTATCACCAAAACCAGAATTTAATTTGAAATTCAGGGGAGATAATGCTTTACATAAAAAATCATGATACAATAAACACTACAGCAGTGAAAAATTAAATGCATTGATTTGGGATACATTTTTCATCTTTTATCTTTCTGTTGCAGGGCTTCGTCTCCCTGTGTACAAGACTCTGGCCTGTAAAGCTCCCGTCCTCCCTGCTTCTCCCATCACTTCGGCTGAGCCCAAATCCTTGGACATCGACGTTTCGGACCTGGGATCACGTAACTATGGAGCCCGCTCAGACTTCTACTGCCTGGTCACTGAGGAGGAAATTTGATCCACACTCCCCTCACTTCTGCTGATTTATAAAAATGAACACCTACCTTGAGATCCTCATTAGCTATGCTTTTTATTTATCCATGTATATGGTAAATATGCTTTTGTTTCTTTTCTGTACAGTTGTAAAAATCAAACAGTTACTTTTTTCTATTTGCACTTACCAAAGACTGAGATTTAATGTTTTATATTTTTTACTGGGTTAAATATTTTATGAGAAATTGTCCAAGGAAATATCTGAAATAGTTGTGTCAATCTGGGAAAGACTGAATAGACCTTTTAAGTGATTGTCATTTCACAGCCAAGAAGTGTAATTGTGTCACCAGCAGAGGGCAGAGTGATAACTATAAGTGATAGTGATAAGCTATAGGAATTCTGCTTTTTAAGCAGTTTTTCTTAATTTGACAGCTGACAGTACACAGATGGTTGGGAAAGACAGAGAAAGTACATGTAGTGTACTAAAGTCAGATTTGGACCCACAACACCCTGTATCTGTTTGTACACCATCAACTGGTGACTAAAGAACTCAGTTCTTGACATTTCTGCGGTTGGGGCTTTGTGAGTGATGTAAACCGCCTCAGATAACAACATGGCAGCCACGCTAATAAAGCAGTATGATGAAATACCTGGCTATTTCTCTCTGTACCGGCTGATGATCTCTGTACTCATGGAGTAATGATTACCTACAGGGAAATAAGAGACTGAATAAGGGTGCAGCAGGGAAGGTCTGGTGTTGTTCCTGTCTGAGCAGGAGCAAATATGTAAACAGGGAGTGGCCGACATTTCATCATGTTAGTGTCAACCAGCTACAGTCAAAGCAAATGCTGCAGCACACACACGCACATGAGAAACGCTTACAAAATGACATTTCACTTCCAAATCTGTCTCTTTATTAGCTGAAAAATATTCAGATGATACATCTGCCGGCATACAACACAAAAGCAAATATTAAAACACAGTAACAATACATACCAAGAGTTTGTATGAAAACATTACAAGTTACAAAATCAAATCTAATCAAAATAAGTTTCAATAAGGTCTGAATCTGAAAAGTGTTACATTTTGCAGTTGGTCATTTCTGAACACAGACCTCAAAACTGAACAAATATTAAGTATTTGTTCTAAAAAAAAAAATTAAAAAAAAGGGAGGTAAGGACTGTATCCTGTCACCCCTGTGTTTCTCACTCACACACCATTTATTAAAATAGACAAACAGCAATTATAACACCATGTTAAAGAAAAATAAACAGACATCATAGTACTGTATGAGTTCAGTATGACAAAGTGATTACGAATGTCAGACTCCACCATTTTGTATGCAAAGAGTGGGATTTCGCAGAACTAAACAAAATATGTATAACTAAATACAAAACTTTGAAACAACAATCATTATTCCCAGATTTCTGAATCGAATTTTAAAATGTCAGAAATACTGTGGTTTCCATTCAATTATAACTATATGTTCTCAACACATATTTATCCAAAGACTACAAATACAAAGTCCAAAGCTACAATATAAAAAGCATTTCATTTCTGTGTAAAAGAGAAAGCAATATCTACAAACATGCTATGTCAGTACCACATTTGTTTGCATCCATGCAAGCGTCCATCAAATCATCCATCAACAGTCATGATCTATTTTCGAACGGCAGAAACACAAACAGCTGCAGATTCATGTGAATACAAGTTGCAGAAAATAAATCCCTGATTCCACATTAAAACATACAGTGTTCAAACAAAGAGAGTAAATGGTTAAGGTGCACACATTAGTCCATCAATAATACATCATACTGGATCCCCATTTCTTGAACTGTGCTGACGTCCATTGAGTTTTAAAAATACACAGGAAGTCCTTTTCCATCCTCTGTCACTTGTGTGTTCATGTTCTTATAACAAAGGCAGATAACAACTGAACATATGTTATCTTTGAATGGCATAAAGAGTTTATTTACTCCCACACATCTAAAAAGATTTCTTCCAAAAGGGTGACTGGTAGAGTGCAGGACTGATCCCTACAACTATATTTGATCATCTGCAAAATCCATTCTAGTATATCCTTTCTGTAACACAAAGAAACAAAGATGGTGTTTTGACTTTTGTTTGCATATGAAACACAGAAAAATGACAGTGTAGAATTTATGTAAGTACTTATTCTAATATTAATTATACTACACACCAGTCAATGACAGCTCCCTCAATTAAGAAACTGAATGACCTCTGAGCTCACAATGTAACGCAATCCATTTCAGAGTTATGCAATTCACTGTTAATTTTAGCTGTGTGTACGTATTTTTTGTAACATGTCCCAAGGTGGTGCAGGTATCTGATTATTCAATTTAAAACTGTATGTAAGACAAGCATTAACACATTTTTTGCTCTGTTGGGACTTGTTCAATAGGAAATATGATTAACACCGCACCCTTGGGAGGGGCAAGTCCTAATCTGCAAAATGCAGTAAACTTACCTGGACCGGCCCAAGACATGAACATACAGGACTGGGTGTGTTATGTGCGGAAAGATCAGCAGTGTGAACAGATTTTATATATATATATATATATATATATATATATATATATATGCACAGACGCATGCACATATGGGAATGAGGGTGGGGCACCATAAAAAGAAAGCTTTTCTGAGCTTTGACTTTTGTGTAGCAGTCAACATACAGAATCTAACTTGCTGTTCATGTCTGTGTTAAAGGCAAGAGACTCTTGAAAAATAGATTTTTAGTGTGTTTAAGTGTTTTGTACTGAACTGCGGGCACTGTCATTTAGCCAATGTGCAAAAATTAAGTTTTAAATGTTCCATTTTGGTGTATCTTTTATATCTTTATACTAAATTGATTATGACTATAATTTGTGAGTATTGAGAAACAAAGTTGAAAGTCAGTAGGAAGTTTACAAACAATTGATGTTCCTTTATAAGATATCCTATAGTGCAGTATACTTACATTAATATACGTTGTTAATGTTTAATGACATTTTTATTCATCAAGTGCTAGCTGTGCTTTCACAAAGTTTTTCTCACCTATTCATGTTTCAAACGTTCTACTATGTGATTTGATGGTTAGATAATATACAATTACAATTAACTTTAAACATTCCTAAATTCATAAGAGAGTTAAAAGAATACTCTGTTAAAATGAAAATTAGGATGAACAATTTTCAAATCTAAGGCAGTTTCTTTGATATATTATTGGTTTTTTTTGGCTACTTTAACACAATTATGCAGAGCTCCTATATAGTTTACTATACACATTATTATAACAGTCTCTTACCGATTTGTATGTTTTATGCAGTTTCTTGTACTGGAACATGTTGCTGAGAACTGTGGCTGCTGCTTTGGCTGCTTTTATCTTCGCACTGCTGGAAAAAATATTTTTCCAAGGTTAACACTTTGTACAAATAACCTTGTGTGCAAAGATAAGGTGCAATACTTTGTACAACATTCAACATCAAATGTTATGCAAATGTTAAAAATGTCTGTGTCAGGGCTCAGGTAGGTTCACATATAACTAGCATAGTATGTTTAGCTATTTTCCACTTTACCTGCTGTCATGTGAGTTCTTGATGCCGATGAGTTTTGGCAGGCCATCAAAGAAAGCGATGTCTCTGGCAGCCAAAGAGCTGCTGGTCACCAAGTTATTGAGAACACCACAGATGTTGACCACCACCTCGCTAGAGGGCTCCTTCTGTTTTCCATTGTCAGGCAGCTTGGCCACCAGGTGGTTCACCACCTTTGTGGCTGGATAAACCAAGTATCGTTATACAATGTTAAAGTAAAACTTATCTTCACAATAGAGGGTATGCGTTGATGTCACTTCCCCTTCCGGAACACGCTGGACTGAGTAGCAAAACATCTCTTACCATGGCTGCGTTTAGCAAACCGGGAGTAAAACAAGTGATTATTTGCTCAAATTAAATGCAGTCGGACTCAACAGTGATCCTTACTGCTTACCAAAGAACCAGTGTTGTTTGTGTTTTAGCTGATTCAAGCTAACACTGCTGCTTGTCTTTCTGCCACTCAGCGAGCGTAACTGCGTTCTGTGACATCATGCGCATACCCTCTACACAATAATTCCTGTTAGCATGAACACACAAATTTCTGCCAAGGTTGTTTCATGTGGGTTTTTGTTGTCTACGGCCTCTCACTGGTGTGAAGGGTGATGTCACAGATCTCTGTGCACCAATCAGGATTTAGCACTTTTGAATCAAGATCTAATGATAGTTGTGGCGTTTGCAAATGTTTATGTTATCAGGCCACTCTTAATAATTTTTAATAAATAATAAATGTTGTTTCCAAATTTAAACTATCATTGTTGTACTTTTGGTAATTCATATCTAATGTCATCGACAGACCATTGATTGATTCCACTCAGGCTTTGGCTATCCTCGGTATATTGGATGTTCAAGTTTGTATTTCATCTTAAATCTCATCTAAAATGTTGGTGTCTGAATTTAACCAATCCAGTTTGAGCAACCAGATATTTAACTACATTCAAGTTTTTGTTTATTTGAATAACTTAAAACAACTTCCTGAGAATTTCAAAGAGGGGAATTCAGACCCCTCTTTGACACACCAATTCAGATAAATATTTTAGAAAAGCAAATAATGATTATTTTTATTGTCTATTAATCTGTCAATTATTTTCTCGATGAATCGATTAGTTGTTTGGTATATAAAATGTCAGGAAATGGTGAAAACTGTTGATCAGTGTTTCCCAAAGCCCAAGATGACAACCTTAAATGTCTTGTTTTTTCCACAATTTAAAGATATTCAGTTTACTGTCATAGTCTCCTGAGAATATTCACATAAGCTGGAATCAGAGAATGTGTGACTTATGTTTTTTCAAACATTTAGCACTGGTGAGAAGAGAGTCATCTCACAATGCACCATTTACTGGAGTTTGTCTCTAAAGTGATAAAACAAGAAATTGTACTGAATAGGTTACCGGTATAGCAGATAAATAGGTAATTCAAAGGCAACAAATTATTTATACCTAACGAGCATAAAAAAAGAAAGACTGACCCATGTCATTCTTATCCCTGGCATGGCGGGAAAGATTTCGGAGAAAGCCTGTGAGAGAACGCAGCTCCAGGTCATTGCTTGTACGCAGGAGGTCCAGCAGCACTGGCAGCATGCGCTCCTGCTCCAGAGCCACCCTGCTCAGCACTGAAGCCCACTGCAGGACAAAGAAACAGAGACAAACAAAAAATGGGATAAACTTAGATTGTTGCGTTTCAATGTTTTACAGGAGAACTCGATGAATGTGCTGCTTACCCTCTTGTCTCCAGCTGTGATGTTCTGCAGCGCTCCAGCAGCTGCCTCCCGGGTGGTGGAGTTGATCTCACACTGACGCAGCACACTGTTGTACAACCCCACTATCTGCGGGTGCCACAGCCACTCCACACTCTTTGGCACTCGAGCAACCTCGGTGAAAGTGGAGAGATCCTGGTTCTGGGTCTGTCAAGGGAAGGAAGAATACAAAAAAAAAAAAAAGGTGTTGAGATGGATAGTCTGGTCCATGTAGTCAAACTGATGATGGGTAAATCTCACGTGTGCGTACATTTTTTGCTTTCCTGCTCTGAGGCGTAAAGCAACCAATGGCATCACCCTTTCC